TATCCTAAAACTGGCAACAAATCAGATAAATTGCAGGAAGGTCATGGATGACAGCAGGGAGGATGTGCAGCAAAATGAATTGAGCGAGACTCTTGCTTTTCTGTTCAGCCCCAAAGTGATCTCCTCTCCCTACTCCTTAGTCTTTGCCTCGCAAAGCAAGACTTTAGCTGATGTGCTCAGTAAGGGGCACAGTTTGGTAAGACAGACTTGGGGGCAGCAGCTCGAGTCGCAGGGAGCTGCCTAACGTCAGGGCTGGAAGCTTCTTCCCTGGTGTTTTTTGATCCGCTCGCAGCCTTTGGGTTGCTTTCCGTCACTTCTGCATTCCTGACTTTCTCTGTTTTCTGTCACTAATCCCAAATCCTGCTCAAGTTGGGCATTAGCTGCCTCACATGGGCAGATGTCCTGCTCTGAAACGTCCTCTTGGCCTCCTCCTGCCAGTGCCCATGGGGATGCCAGGACTCGAGGCGGCTCAGGGATGTAGATGTTTCCCTTCTCCTGACGCACAGGCACAAACCTTCCCAAACCATCTCAGCACTGTGCATGGTTTTGGGTGCACACCCCTCCAGCCTACACCAAGAAAGCTGTGGTCCTGCCTGGGTCATAAATACCATCATTTTAAACCCTTATACCCTACTTTTTGGAAGTTGCACTTGCTATCCAGGTAAAGATCCCCTGGGAAAAGGGAACGTGCTGAAAAAAAGCCCAAGTGACTCGAGCCAGATGCTGGGCGTTTTCTCCAAAGCTAGTGATTTGTGATTTGCTGCTGACAGCATGAACTGGTGTTAAGTTATTAAATTGCAGATGAGCTCATCACTTGGCCTTGAACAAGTTTCAGCCTTGAGTGGCTTTAAAATATTACATGTGGTGGAAAAGAGACAATGCTGGTGTGGCAGAGAGATTTAGGGAGCAGCTGAGAAAGACATCTGTGCATAAAAAATGTGTACCAGGAGGGAGGAGGGAATACTTCATGTGAAAAATGTAAGCTCTCCCAGGAGAGGAGAAATTCTCTGAGTTATTGGTTCTACATTTTAATTGTAGCTTAAGAGAAAATTGTCAGAGTTTTGAGATGCTCCTAGAGAAGTGGCAAGATGCTAAGCCTGGGTTGATCCTCAAAGATCCCAGTGTGTTGAAAGCTGCGTGTGTGGGATTACTTTTACCAAGCCCCCCGCCTGGCTCCTTTGGTAGCGTGTGGTGTTTGCCAGCGATGCCATATGACCATGTGCCAAATTCAGCTCTTACTTCAGGTTTGCTTAATCCTAATGTTAAGCTTTACCAGTCTGAGAAGCTAACATCCACGCTGCTGTTAGGAGAAGTGTTTCTCTCCCTGAAGGAGTAGGAGTTTCCTCTGGGGATTTCCCTGCCCTACATCATCTGAAAAATTTCTATGTCTCCATTTTTTCCCCCTCTTGCAAAGGAGCTCCTGAACCCACCTGGTTCTGCACAATTGCCTGTGGATCCATGCGGTGCCAAAATACATGGGGAGGAAGATGGTTTTGAGCAAAGGAATTATTTTTTACAGCCTAATTGAACCCAGCTATGCCAGAGCAGCCTTGGTGGGCTGGCCTGGCCATCACCGTGCTGCTCCTGGGGAGCGGAGCGCACACCCTCATCTTAACTCTAGATCTCGATGCTGAGATTAATTTTTTTTTAAGTGCCGACTTGGCAAAAGCTGTGGGATAGATCATAAACTGGTTCCATCTCTTTATTTCTCAATCTAGATATGTTTGTAATCAGCGGGCATGTTGGCCAGTTGGGTTTTGTGGCCGGCTGGATTTGTTGTTTTGGGACATTTTAGGTGCTCCCCAGCAAGGGAGAACAGCCTCACACGTGTGGTGTTTTAACTGTCTCAGTTTGTTTTTTTTTTACCAAATGGTGTGTTTGCAGTCAAAGCGTCAGCAACGCTGGTGTTAACTCAGTCAATGCTTTGGTGATGCCCCTAAAAATAACAAGAAAACCGGGAAGCTGAAGACTTGCTACCTCGTTTGTGGCATGAGCTGTAGTTGCACACAGTGCGAGATCCCTCTGGCTGCTACAGCCAGTGTCTGAAGGCAGAATATGTGGGGGTTTTTAAGTGAAGGTGTGTCTGAAGTGACGGAGCATCATCACCCACATTGGGGCCAGAGCATCACTGAGTAAAGGACAGGCTCCAATTTACTGCAGGGCATCAAGGTGTTATTGGCTTGAATTTGCTGTATTTAAACACTGTGGGCAGGAGAAAGGGAAATTTTCATGTAAATCATTAATAGATTGCATGTGTGGCTGCCAATAATGAGCTGAAAACTGTGACCCTGGAGCAGCCAAGCTCGGAGGCATCAGCTGAAGGAAGGCAGGGTGTCTTGGGGTGTTTTTCACACACACCTAAGCTGATCGACTTGCAGAATGTTGCCAGGACATGGGGACCGTCCCCACCCTCAGCCACACATTTCTGTCCCCATCCGTGTCCTGGGTCTGATAGGGATCGTGGATTTCTGATAGTTGAAGCTCCTCAATTGTATTTCTATTTTTCTGCCTGATCTTTATCCATGTGTACATGTACAACAGATTGTACATGTACGCAGATCTGTGATTATCTTCTTTTAGACCATATAAAGCTACTTTCTTATTGCCACGTTGATTTTTTGATTTCCCACAACAGCAGCTATATCCAACCCTACTTCTATTTGTTTGGGCAAACGCTGCATTTGTACTGTGAGGGCTGGGAGCTGCGGTGCTTTGGCGTTAGCACATATTTGAGATGGACAGCTTCTCAAGTTTGCAGGGTTTAACATCTCATGAGCTGCTCTGCCCAGCCCTGTAAGGGAGATAATGCCTTCCTTTTAAATGCATTGTTCCTGAGTGTGGTTGTGGGTGACAAGCACAATTTGCATTTGCGAGATGCTCTAACTTCCTCACGTGGCAAGTTCTGCAGAAGTGCAAAATGTTCAATAAATAACAATTTAGTTGTCGAAACTACTGCCTTTTGTGGGATGATGGTGAATAATATTGTCCCAACCCTGTGTTGTGTGTCTGACACTTTTCAGGTTTTTTTGATTAAGTCACTTAGCCAGACTGAGGCTCCGACATGACCGAGTAGACCTTCCTGTTACTAAATCAATAACTTTTATGTTTCACTTTCCCCAGCTCCACATGACAGCACCCTCTGTCCTTGGGGTCCCCTCCTGTATTTCAGCCCTGTAGCTGGTTGGTTTTCCCTAGGAAGAGGACCAGAGCACCAAATGCTCTCCCCTCTATGCTTATTTCTTGCATTGCTCATTCCTTTTCCACCTGAAACTTCTATCTCATTTTTGCAGCTCAGCTCTTCTCAGCCTCAAATTCTTTGTAGAACTGGACCGGTTTGGTTTGCTGGCACTATGATTAATCCCTGGGAGCGCTGCCGTTAGGCTGGGCAGCAGGCCTTTTCACCCCCCAGAGACATACGTATTCAAACATCATGAAACTCTTCGTGCCAGATGCCACCGGCTGTGTGGGAGGACTTGGCATTTGATGCTGTTGTGGAGTCTCCAGTGTGACTGTTCTTGGGGATCAGGAGTAATTGCCTCAATGCTAGTAGAGATACAGATACAAGGATTTCATCATTGCCTGATTTTTCATGGGTGGTTGAAATGATTCCTCATTTGTGCTGTGTTTTGGGTCAAGAAGCAGGAATAGACACTCAGAGCTGGACCATCCCACCAACTTACAGACCCAACTCCCATTGCCAGTGAGGACTTGAAGGACCGGTGGTTGTGGCTTCCTACACAAGTGTTTGCACTGGATCAATGCTGGTGGTCAGTTCTTCCTTACCAAGAAACATCTCCACTCTTCAGTGGTGGCTGTCAAACAGCTGCTTCCATGTTGTTTCTGTAGCGTAGGGGCTCTACCTCACCAAAACGCGTGGCAGGGTGGCAGGCAGGTCTCAGCGTCAGTATGTCCCTGCCCACTGAGTCTTGTAGAGGTCATCTGGAAAGTAAATGCCTTGGTGTAGGTGTGGTGGTGTCTTGGCTATGGGCAGGTGGATGTGTTACCCAAAGTAGAGATGATTTCCTGAAATACAGGAGGACCCATGGGTCTTCATTTTGCTAAATCCCATCCGTGCCAAGTAGAGGAGGCTGCTTCTTGGCTTTACTCTTCAAAAGCGTAAGCAGAGCTTTGAAGAGAAATACAAACCATCTTATTCCTGTCAAAAATAAAAGGCAAAAGGGAAGTGACTTGCACAAGTTCAACCAGTAAGGCAGGGCTGGAAAACGAGCTGGTTCTCCTGGAGCTCCAGTGTTGGAGGGGACCTGTGAGGCTCATCTCCTTGATGGACTGGCTCTAGCCATCCTGTGGGGTGGCTGGTGAACCTTGCTGCATCGTGCCTTCATCTGAGAGAAGTGCTGTCCTACCCCCTGATCAGCTGCTGCTGAGAAACAAAACACAGCATAGATAAAATACTTGAATTAAAAGGAGCACACTATATATAACCCTTCCCCTCCTCGTCCCTGTGCACTAACATATTTCATATATTGCTGAATTCTGTGCCAAAATTCCTCAAATTATTATGTCTAAGGATTGCAAATCATAGAAAATAGTCTTGGAGGGGACCTCGGGAGGTCTGATCCATCCCTAGGGCAGGATCAGCTTGATCTGAACTGTTCCTGACACATCCTTGTCCAGTCTCCAATGACAGAACCTCCACCCCTTCCCCAGGCAATCTAGTCCAGCACTTTGCTTTTCCCATACACCCCCAGTTTATCCTCCTGTTTCCATTGCTGCAATTTTAGGCTCATTCTTTCCTCCCTCTGCACAGCAGACCCAGAAGCACATCTGTGCTATATTTATTCCCCAATTCCAGTTTCACGCCAATTGAGCGGTCGTGTTCTCTGGAGTCATCTTTGATTTTTACCTTCTTGCAAGCGCTCTGTTCGCCTGGTGGATTTATGTCTTGTGAGTGGCATGGGGGTGTTCATCCTGCAGCCCCAACGCCTCTTTTTGGAGCAGATAAAGCACGGGAGTGCAGCTTTCCCCAGGGTTACGTGCTTATGTGTCTCTTCTTTGGTGGTGGGGTGGTGGTGGGGATCACTTTCTTCTTGGCTTCTTCATGGGGACCACCAGTGTGGGCTAATTTTAAGATCCGTGCTAGCACTGGCTTTTGTAGCACATCTAATATTGTTCCTTTACCCTGTTTTCTGCAGGATTTAGGAATGGAGTCAACCTCCCTGGATGATGTTCTCTATCGATATGCCAGCTTTCGAAACCTGGTGGATCCAATCACTCATGACTTGATCATCAGCCTTGCTAGATACATCCATTGCCCTAAACCGGTAGGTACCATGGTCTCATCACACTTCCATAACTGTGCTGGCTTGGGAAACCGCTCTGCTGGGAGCGTGGAACTTCTCCCTGAGTGCCAGGGAGAAAGCCTCCTGATTATGGCTGTGGTTGTGTGTCTTTGGACCAGGAGGACCTGCTTGGAGATTGTGCTTGGATTGCACAGTATCGGGCTTTCCAGCTGACCAAGTGACATTTGCCCGATATTAGTACTTTGGGTGTTAACACCTTGTATTGCAAATTATTTCAGCTTTCTGCCACTTCATGTTTTTATGTTAAAGACCTTACCCCATCAGAAACACTTTGGGCCGCACAAGGATAACAGATCATTCTTTGCCCTTGTGCAATATTTATCACAGCCCCAAATGACAAGAGAGTCCTTGGCTATGCCTTCAAGACCAGGTTTCTAAATAAGCACAGCCTCCGTGGGCTACTGTTTGGGCTCTGACGTGAGCGGGTTTCTCTGTGAGTGCAGCCCTGGGCAGATGTGGGCTTTTAAATCTCTTGGCCCCATTTGCTCGCTGGTGGCTGTAGCAGCATAAGGGCTTTTGGAAATCCCAGGCTGGCTCCCTCCCTTCCATGGTAAATGTGGCTTTGCATGGTGGCCACTGGTTGTTTGGATTTTTAAGGTTTCTTTCCCCAGGCTTTCTTTTAAATAAGCAATGTTGTCCGTATCTGTTTCACAGAGCAGCATAGGCTTAGAAAGGTGTGAAATGGCTGAGCTCGCAAAACACACTGGGTAAGGAGGAAGAGGGGTAAGAGGGAAGACCAAAAGTTACCAGACAGCGATCACAGGAGATGTAGGTGGCATCAGATCTCTGAGGACTTTTGATCTTTTAGTCCTCCTGTGCTGCAGTTCCCCACCTGTAATTTTGGAAGGATGACACAACTGCTAAATCAGTGGGATGTGTCCTGGCACGACAGTCATGGTGTCATGTCGGGCACCAAAGACGAATTGGTTGCAAACACCTGAGATGTGCACCTTTCAGGGGAGATACCTTCCTTCTGCGGGCAAGGGGGAGCTCTCTCAACACCTCTTGAAATTCCTAGGAATGGGCTTCCTCCTAAAGAGACATTCCTATCTGTTTCGTCTTGTTCTGGTACAGGTCAGAGTGTGGCCAGGGAGCTGAAGGCTCATCTATTATGGTTGTGTTTTTCTTCTCCCCTGCACATTGCTTGTCAGGAATTAAAAGTCACATTTAAAACAAATGGTGTGAATTGTAGGAAGAGGCTGAGTGATGTTTTCCAGTAAGCCCAAAGGAGGGTTTGCAGAGCTTCCTGGTGGGATATCTCCATCGTAACAGCTTCCTTGGGAGTGTGGGAGCTGCATGGCTTCCCTGAACTTGCTGCCTGAAACCAATAAGCTACTAAAAAGTTCACTTTGAGCAAAAAGGAAGCCCTTCTACCCCCATAACCTGCATTTGGCTTGGTCGTGCTTGCAGATGTGATGGAGCTCTGTTTGAGGGCCACCAGTAACAACCTCCCAAGACTCTCCTCTGTTGTCCTCCAAGCCCTTCCCATGCCTTTTGTCCCTGGGAAAGGGGGCAGCACCGTGGCATCAATCATCCAGATTCATTGCCGCATGTAAGACTCTGTACATTGATGTAACCTGGAGCAGGGAGGAGAGGTGCAAATGGCCCAGGCCGGGTGTGTACCTGACGTCTGTGGGTCCATCCCCTGTGATGCAGAGGGGTGCAGCCCTTCCTGAAGGGCAGCACCACTGATGTTCCAGCAATGACTTGGGGGGGTACATCTGGGCAAGACCCAACTCCTGTTGGGGTTCACACGGTGAACCCCAGATATTTTTCAGGTGTTCCTGGAGGGGACATGTGTGTCCTCCAGCAGGTCCCAGCGAGCTCATCAGGGCTCTGACTTTCTGCCAAGAGTACACTTGTTGCGCTCTGTATCCTTGGATTTTGTTGGAGGGGGGTGTTTTGTTTGTTTATTTTTTCCTCCTAGAGACAGCAAACTCAGAGCTGGCTCATCTGTTCTCGTCTCTGCTGCTGAACTGCAAGGCATTTACCCATGTCATGCCTCCTTTTGACTTGCATGTGGCATTTTTAAGGAAGGGATCATCCATAGATGTGATGGCGCAGGGGTCCGAGCTGGGACCTGCAGGCATCGCTCTCCTGTACTCACTGCCAATATTGGGTCTTTAATTTCCTGTAAGAGTATATGAAGGGATAGAGTCATTCACTGCTGCTTCTTGTGGATGTTTTACTTAAGAATAGCCTCCACCAGTATTTAAAAATAAGGGAAATTGCTTTTTTTGAAATATTTGAAGATTAATTTTGCTGAGGAAAAGCCAAGGTGATGCTTGGGGTGTGTCTGCCTGGGCTATGGTGTGAAGCTGGCTCTGGAAGTGCTTCATAAAACTCTCTACACTCAATAAACCACGTTGGGAAGGGTGGAGCGGGTGCAGCAGCGTGCAGACATGGCTCGGGGGCAGCAGGAACCCAAATCTCCATCTCCAGACCAAGGATGGATGTCCCATGTCCACAGTGTGAGCTCAAGATACAGACACATCCCTGTGCTGTGTAGCTAAACCCATCCGAGAATACCAATATATCCTCTCCCTTTTCTTATGGAGAACAAGATCCTTTCCTCTCTCCTCCCCCATGGGGCAGTGAGATGAGAAACTGGAGAAACCTATTTTGACGGGCACGTTTCCAGGCAGAGAGGCCCCGTTCCCCTACTGAGGTTACCCTTTTCCAAAGCGTCGTGACTAAGCTGGTTTCTCCTCCACATTTTACCCTGGGAGACTAATGGTGAGCCATGGCCAAGTGTGTGCTCTGTGCTCCTCGTAAAAATAACCTGAGGCCGCTCATGCAACAGCAAATTGCTCTGCTGCTGCTGAATACCTGCTTTCGCATGTCTCCCTGCACGTTTCTTTTGGCACTAAGTGCTGTGCAGGAGTTAGTGCCAGTGTAAGCAGAGAGATGCAAGCTCCTAGTACTGAATCATGGGCTCCTAGCAGACCGTGGTGGTAAAACGTGTAATAGCAAACCCAAATAAATCCAGCACTGAGGCTCTTCTGCATGAGCTGCCGCTCGTTGGACGCACTTGGTCCTCTTCCCCTCCCTTGCACAGCTCGGGGTTTGCACCACGCCGTACTGTTGCTTTGGTGCCTGAGCAAGGGATGGCTTCTCCGGGCCAGTGGTCCCTTAGGAGGTGGCTGTGTCAAATGCTGGCAGGTGGCAAGTGTTTTCAAGAGAGCGGTGGCAGCTGTATTAATGCAGCAAAGAAAACATCGCTGCATTCTACTGTGCAGCGAGGTGCTCCACCGGAGACCCACAGGGGCTCACAGACACTTGCTAAGCCCTGGAGAATCCCGGGGAGATTGATGGGTGTTGCCTTGGAGAGGAAAGCAGGGGCTGCGCAGTTGACAAGTCCAACAACAGCAGGACTGCGCTGCAGCTCCGAGTCCGTGACAGCCTTTCTCGGTGCCACTGACTGTGCTTTGAACCCTCTTTTTATTGGCAGCTCAGGATTCTGGATGAAAAGTAATTTCATGCCAGTGTCTGGTGGTGGTTTTCCGAGATGCTGATTTTCTTCATGTCCCCAGAAGCTTGCGTGTCTTGGTCATCTGGGTTATTTTCCAGCATCCAGCCCTCTTTACCCCCAGACGTCTTTCCCTCCCCGCAGTTTCTTTGACAGAGACTTGGCGGCAGCCTACGAGAGCAGGAGAAAGCTCAGGGCCAGGAGTGTTGCAGAAGTGTTGGCTTTTGCTCTGCTTGCTGAAGGTATGCCATTGCATCCCGTGGCGTGAATATACATGAATATGTAGGTTGAGGCAGCTGTGAACTTGCCCACATCCATACAGAGGTGGAACAGATGGGGCTGACCCATCTGACTTCGGTCCCTATTTACCTGCTCTATGAAATACATGTCTGCTTGGGGTTATGGGGTCTCGCTTTCCTCCTCCCTTCTGGAGAGAGCTCTTCCCTGGCTTTCTGTACGTTGTTTTTTTCACTCAGCCTCTATTTATACCACCCTTAGCTTAAAGGTGACCCCTTGGTCTCTCCTCTGAGCTAAAATAAAAGTTGAATCGTTTTTCCGAGCTCTGGGTAAACACATCCTGGTCTGTATGGCCAGAAAAAAGTTGGCCTGGGCTCTCCAGCATGGCTGTGGCTCAGCACAGTTCGGTGGATGCTTATTCCAGCAAGTAAATTCAAACCAGCAGCAAGGCAAAAAAAATTTAACTTGTGCTGGAGGAGCCTGGAGTGCTTTAAATGAGCCCGCGGGCGGAAATTGTTTTGGGTGAGCTTTCGTATGGACGTCAGGGTTTATTGTGTAAAGGCTGGATCGTGTCTCTCCAGACCCCACTGAGATCCCAGCCTTCCCTAAGGCGCTTGTTTTCGGGTGACTTTTACTAAAGGAGCCAAGTGGAAACTCTTTTTCCAGATCACTTGGAAGTCAGGGTGTGGATTTGGTCCCATCCTTGGTTACAAATGTGTAGTGCAGTTCAGCTGAGCCTGGGTGTCCTGAGTACCCCTTCCTTGAGGGGCTGGGACGTGCCTGCAGCACGACCCCGCAGCGTCTCCAGAAATGCTGCTGGAGCCATGAGAGAGCATCTGCCCAGCTCTGGCTGTGGCTTGCTGGGCTTTCAGATCGAATAAATGCTGCCGTTGCACGTGAACGTTGTGTTGAGTGGTGGTTGTAGGTGTTGCACTCTGTATTTATCACCTTGTGCAGCTATTGTAATCCTTTGGAGTTTATTATCCCTTAGAAGAGGCAGTTGTGCAGCAAGTTTTCCAATGTCAGTTCAAGGGGGTGTGTGCATAGGATCAAAGACATTTGAACAAGTGTTTTCTTCCCCATGGCCATGACCTTGGGGCAGTCTTTTATCTTCCTGCCTCTCTCCAGCCCCGTGGAAAGGGGCCAGGCAAGTTCCTCAGCAAGTGGCTCAGCTCCGGGCACAGCTCACAGCTGCCCCTTTCCAAAACGGGGTGCCAGGGTAAGGAGGGAGTTGGTGCTGCCGGTGCTCTTGGAC